CTTCGAGTGCTTCTGCGGTGAGGATGGCGACGGCTGCTTTTAACACTATCCTACGGCTGCTGGATGCAGAGGAACCCAGATTGCGGAAGGGGTGATTCAAGCCAAGGGCGCACTTCGAATCCTTCTCTGTCAGTTGGCCTAAGATCTCGCTGATCTGTGTGTTTCCGCATGGAAGCGGCTCGGCTGCCAAGTCTCAGAGCTCTGTGAAAGCTGCTGCGGGTGCATTTGCAGCGCCGAGTGCTCACCACAAACACCTACAGCACGAGGAACATTTAGCAGCTGAACAGTGTTTTCTGTCCCAGACACCGAGGGAGGAAATCCAAAACCGCATTGCCTTTTAGGAGCGGAGCTGTCTTGGGCGCTCTCAGGAGTAACAAGAATCACATTGCTAAGTACACCATTTTGCTTCTCTCTCATCATTCCAGTAGTTACTACTGGGTTTCTCTCCTAGAGCTGCATATCTATATCTATCTATCTGTCTATCTATCTATCTATCTATCTATCTATCTATCTATCTAGTTTTACTTTTTAATTTTGCAAGAAATGTGATGGCGGGAGGTTTGCTAGAAGCAGGGGCTACAGATCAGGTCCCTAAGTGTGAGTCCTAATGTTCCTCTTAATCAGGCTGTGCAGTTCTGGGCAACCCTCAAAATCTTTCTCGGCCTACTGGGGGCTGAGGCAGTGAGCCCTGGGGTGGGCAGTGAGCTGTCAATCCTATCAAAATAGGTGTGAAAGGGCTCTGGGGGCTCTTAATCTGAGATCCAGGGCTAGGCTTTTAAAGGTCTTCAAAGCCTGGAAATTTTATGACACCTGAATATAAATGCAGAGAAGTAAACTGACCACACTGCCCGGGATGTTAATTTCCTGCAAGGGAGCAGACAGAAATGAAGGGAGTTTCCGCGTGTCGTTACTCTGCATACGTCCATTTTTCTTGGAGTTATTACTCTGAGGAGGTATTTATATCTTGTTTGTAGAAATAAATTAGCCTTTTAAAAAGAAATTGCCTGCAGCAGTGCTCCTGGCTATGAATACATGCATTTTTCTTGGGCAATCAATGGTGCATGCTTTCGTCGGGGGTTGCGGGCGGTTGTTGCAGGAGTGGGTAGCAGAGTTAGAGACTTCCAGAAGTTAATGAAAGTCTGCGACTTCACGGATGAGAGTTGTTAGGGCTGTTACTGAACACCAGTGCTCCCCACCTCCTCACCCTGCCCTGGGTGGTCTCGGCTGGAGCCTGGCTTCTGGCTGCTGCTGGGGCCCACCTGTCCTATCCCTGCCTCTGGATTCCAATAACGGCCACCTGCCCTCACCCCTTCAGACCTGGGCAGCCACCAGTGTCCAGTTACTGGCCCCAGACACTGCGCGATCCTTTCTGGTGTCCCGACACCCTGCCCACACTCAGAAACAATCCCTCATGAAACTCTCCTCAAATTACCCAATTTGCATGTGCCATCTGTTTCCTGTTAAGACCCTGACTGATACAGTGTTTTTAATGTCTTTGTACCCTCTCTGCCGGTACACTCACACACACCACATCTATTCACCGACCCTCTCACGCACACGCACACGCACCCTCCGGCTCCCACAGTGGACGTTCACAGTCACTCACAGACATATACCCTTGCTCACAAACTCACACTCCACACTCACGACGGGGTCTGCTCCCGGCACTGGGGAACACAGTGCTCTGGTTAAAAGCCTGCTCTGGTGAACTGAGGGTCCCCCCGAGATGCAGGAGCCCTGTCTGCCTTCACCTGCGCACCACCAACCTGGCGACTCGTGCCAGTTCTTATTTTTAGGACAGCTGCACTGTGTCCATTATTACTCATGCAGACAAACGCAGCAACTGCACATGCTCAAGGTACTTGGAAAGAGGCTTCATAAAAATACCACATTTGAAGGAAAAAACACTAATTAAAGCGGCCCCTGGAGTCTTTAACCTTGCAGCATGGACTTGGAGGTCAAATAAGATCTTTCCACCTGATTTTAGGTAGATGGGGACAGATGGAACCCCCCGGGTCACACAAAGACTAGTGCAGATGGACAGCACCAGGTACTGTGGGTGGGTATTGAAGGGAGAGATATTTGGACTCCATACAAGGTCATCTTTACGATCACTGGAGGCCATCGGGTGACAGGCCACCTTAGGAAGGGGCCCTGTGTCTAGTGCTGTGTTGCGGGGAGACGAATGTCAGGGTTGGGAGCAAATGACCTCTAAGGCTGCTCTAGGATGCACCTCGCTGCCCCTTTGAAGTTTCTGCTTCCTCATGTGTAGAATGACCACCTCCGTCTGGGTGTCTCCAAGGGATCTTCAACAACTATAGATTCTCTAAATCTCTTATTCTGCAGGCAAAGAGCCTGGAAAAATGGTGTGGGGGGTGCGGTGGAAAGGGGCTGCAGAAGTAATTAGTGATGGAAAAGCAAATCTCTAGCCACCTCTGTATGTCTGAGTTTGCATATTAAAGCAGGGCTGGATCTGGGCTGAATGCTTCCACTGCCTCCAAAGCAAGAGGCAGCCAGCACTGGGACGCTGGGAAATCCTGGCCTGTGTTGGAGAGGCCAGTTAAGTTTTGGGGGGAGATGAAGTTTCTGTACCAGGCCTCCAACAGCTGCTGGCTGGTTAGCCTCCCTGGACCTCAGATTCTTCGTTGGAGACCAAAGTCTCAAGCACATAGACAGACACGTTTACTTGAGGATTAACAAGTGCCATGTCCCCAGCCTTCCTGGTTGGGGTAGAGACCAGCCAAGAAAACACGTCTGCATCCTGTCCATTTTCCTTGGCGTGTCCATTCTCCCACACTCACTGGCTCTGTGACCTTGCAAAACTTATTTCAGTCTGCGAGCCTCAGTTTTCTCCCAGGTGAAGTGGGGGATGGTAGCACCTCCCTCACAGGGTGGGGGGCTGCGGGTGGAGAACAAGGAACCCAAGCACTGAAGACACCTTGCACGCGGGGCGCCCGGCTTCCTGCCTTCTAACAGGGAGCTAGTGGGACACTCAGGAGCAGCATGCAGGGCACCCATCGCCCGCTCTGCCCTGTGGTCCACGCTGACCTTGGCCATGGCCCTTTTCCTCTCACCCCAGGATTCAGAAAGGTGGCTCACATAGGCCCTTAGCGTCACCTTGAGTGTCTGTGTGGTGTTGATCGAAGGCGGCATGCAGGTGGGAGGCCAGGCAACCAGGGAGGGAGTTCAGGGACCCTGGGCAGAGCCCTCTGCTTGCCAGTGCTATTCCTCTGGGAAGCCAGACGAATAGGGGTTTGATCCTCTGACACCACAAGGATCAAATTGGGCAGCTTTGCCCCCTCCTATTTCGGTCTGGAGGTCTTTGGTGAGGCCTCAGTTAGGTGGGGCCCACCCTTCTCAGATGCTTTCCCTAACCCCGCCCCCGGGGAAGTGTGCTCACAGGACGCTCAGAGCCCCTCTGATCTGTCTCCTGAACACAAGCGTACCCAGGACCAGGTGCGCCTGGCGTGCGGCGGTGCGCAGGCCAGGTGCGCATGCGTGTGCCGCAGCACTCTGAATTGGAGATGAGGAGCTCCAAACCAATTCTTCTTTAAATGAAAGGCATTGTTCTGAAACTGTATGACACCGCTAGTCGGGGTCTTCCTATTAGTTACAGTTTCATAAGCTTTCCTGCCAAGTAAGTGATTTGGAGGGTTGAAGAATTCCCAATGGCCAGAGAGAAGTTATGAAGATGAAAACTTGCCTTTTAGATCATGAGAATTTTATTAATATGTTACTATTTTAAGCCACCATACAAAATCCTTTGTATTGATTTCGGTGTGATGTACCCGACTGAATAAATATACCAATTTCTGCCAGGGAGCCAAACAGTATTTTTAAACTACTTTAAAATATGTGTTGTTTCCTATGATTTTTTAAAGTTTGGAGTTGATTATGATAGCACTTTCAATTTTTTAAAAAATTCTTTTTTCCAGAGATTATACATGCATATTTTAAACTATTAAACATAAAGCTTAATGGGGTGGATAATTACTTTTTCAAGTTACAAAGAAAGTTTAAAAGAAAGGCAAAATAATTTTTTTGCTTATGTTTGTCGTTTTGTTGGAAAATACCACTACAACAAAGAAAATTTAAAAAACAATTCTCTAAGCATATAACTGAAATATATTCTTATATGGGATTTTTTTTTCTGATTGTCTGTAGCCAATTAGCCTGTTTAGTACATAACATGGTGTCCTCAGGGCTCTGTCAGAAACGTCAGGATCTTCAAAAATTAAGGGAAGAACAGAACAGAGAGCTAAAGCTTTTTAGACATTGGCTGATAGGACCCTCAAGGTAATAATCACACCACCGTCCTTTCATGGATGGGGAAGTTAGGAGGCGAGAGGGTCAAGGGCTTGCTCAAGGGCTTTCAGGTGGCTCCCAACAGCTCAACCCGTGTTTTTCTCTTTCCTTTTCTTCAAAGGGGGAGGGGGAGGGGGGGCTCCCTTGCTTCTCAAGGCCATTGGGAATATCAACTAGACACTATTAAAGACTGGTCTGAGTTCCACAGTGATTTGGAAAGGCACCGAAGAACTGGTGACCATTGTAACTGTGACTCCAGTGAAATGTCCCGGCTGTGCACGGAAATGCGTTTCCATCTTGCAAGACGATACCAGCCATGGCCCTAGCTTTGTGGCATGAGAACCCTTCGGAACTGCAGGCACAGAAGGAGGAATGGGGCTGCCCAAAGGAGGAGGGACTTAGGCACAGCACAGCCTTAGAGACGGAGCAAACAAGGGGCTCAGAGTCCCAGAGCCCAGCATTGCAGGCCAGCATGGCCATCCGGCCTCACTGCCTTCGGGAGCGTGAACCCTTGGCAGTCCCTCCTCTCACAGGATGGCCAGTCCTTCCAGAGGCTGCCGTTGGAAAGTCCTTCCTAATTTTGAGCAGAAACCTGATGGGGGAGCATGGGACCTTTTCTGCCCAGTGCACATAATTGCTTCAGGAGCAGTTCTGTAGAACGGCCCTTGCCTCCTCCCCCCGTGCCCCAGGGTTACCTGAAGTTGTAGCCTGGGGAGATGCTGCTCTTCTGGGAAACGCTGTCCAGTCGGGTGAAGGAGTATCTGGGGATGCACTGGTCCCAGGCCTTGTCCAAGTCGCACTCCCAGCCGATCTTAATGCCCAGAACTCCGCCCTGGAGAAAGGGGCCAGGTTTGAGCGTGCCCCCAGCCCTCCCTATCCCTGTCCTTGTCCGGGGGTGGGATGGGGGGCGTGACAAGGAGACCCGTGATTTCTTTACATTTTCTTGGTAGAGGACACAGGTAGGGAGAGAGGAAAGTGACCTGTCTCAGATGTTGCTTAGTACCGAATTACTGTAGCTCAGGGTGAGAGCCCTTAAGTCTCTAAGCCCCGCTTGCGGTATCTTCAGCCCCTTCCATGCCACACGGGAGAAAGTGGCCACAGACCCACAGCGCCAAGGCCTCTCTATCTGCCGGTGGAGTGTGATGATGGGAAGGGGGATGGGGCTTGGGGAAAGGGCGAGGGAAGAGAGACCACTCAGGACCGCGGTTGGGTGGGCAGGGCTCAGGAGCCAAGCCCGTGGCCGGCTGGGATGCCCCCAGCAGGCGGCGCTGTCTCCCGGCCGCCCGTTCCCCACTGCCCCCTGAAGGGTCCCTGCCCGCAAGCTCCTGGAAGAGTGTCTAGGTCCTCACCGTGCTGGCCAATTTGGCAAAATCCTGCCCCGCAAACTTGACCACATCCCCCACACGCAAGATGGGGCAGAAGGGGGCTTTGTCAGGGTGGAAGTGGCAGGTCTTCATGTCGGCCGCGGTCAAATTGGGAAGCAGGTTTCCCCTGGGGGGCAGGGGGCGGAGGGAGGAAGAAAGGAGAGAGGTGGGGCCGGAGGTTAAGGTAGAGGCAGACCCTCACAAGGTTTCTCCAGCTTTCCTGAGTCTCTGGGGCCCCCACGTTTGGGGTGGGGCAGGGAGTCTGAGACCTGAGCTCTCGGACGCCCACCATCGCCCTCACCTCTGTCCCCGTATCATTCTTGTAACTCCTGCCACCCTCCCTCCCATCTCTGCGGCATGAGTGTTCCTTCATGTTGCATGTCCCCCAGCTCTCAGGCTGGGGCTCCTGGGGGTGGCGGCTGGTGGAGAAACTGGCCCCGGGGTCCACCTAATACTTGGTGGTCAGGGCTGGCTGGGAGATCAGGAACAGGAGAGACACAGCGAGGTGGGGAGGAGGTGGGGAGACCACTGTGAATGGGCATCTCCTGTCCCCTGAACGGGAGGGGGCAGCATGGGCGGGGTGCACGGCCTCCTGGCTTTGGGGAGGAGAACTCACTTCTCAAAGTTGAACAGGGGGAACCGGATGCTGTTCTTGATGAAAATAGTGAAGTTCTCGGCTTCCATCATGACAGGCCTGTGGGTAAGAACAGAAGGGAGAGGAAAAGGGACAGGGGAGCTTTCACCTGGGGGGGCCACCCTTCCTGGTGGACAGGTCCCAGCGGGTGCAGGCACGAGGCCATGGCTTCTCAGGGTCTGAGGGTCAGGGGGACAGGAGGGTGGCGGTGAGATGAGCCGGGAAGGTGCTCTCCTGAGGGCACTTCTGCCCCAAGTGGACACTGTGGGGTGGGGAGGGTGCCCACAAAACCCCCCACAGCTCAGAGATGTGGAGCCCGATGCAGTGGCGAGGAAGAACGGGGACGGGGTCTCTATTCCCGGCTGGTCAGGCCCTCACATTTCCACCGTGTCCACCTCGGTGGGGCACCACCCTTGGATCTCACAGGTCCGGAGCTCAGAGCTGTAATTCACGCAGCGGCCGGTGAGGATCCCTGGGGTTGGGGTGGGGGACACAGAGCTGTGTGCTTGTCTGGCCCTTTGCTGAGTCCTCCCCCCACCCCACCCCTCCTCATAAGAGGTGCCCCCAAACGCACACACACATAGAGGGATCTTGCAAGCGGAGGGAAAGGACAGGCCGGGCGAGGAGGCCCGCTGTTACCACAGGTCCCTGCGGACCTCTCTCCGCTCCTCCCCAGTCCCAGGCCAAGCCGAATGAGGTGACGGTCTTCCTCTCACTGGGTCCCCGTGTCCCCCAGTCACGGCATGCTCTTTCTAGCCTCGGAGCCTTTGCTGCCTCTGCTCCTCTTCTGTAGAATGTCCCTTTTCAAGCCCCCCTGTCCTGCCAAATCCTACCCACCTTTCAGGGCCCATCTCAACTGCCACTGCCTCTAGGAAACCACTTGGAACCAAGCTCTCTCCCACGGTACTTCCTGGACATCACCTGACACCAAAAAGCACGTCTGTCTGTCACCCCGATCCCTGCACTGGGAACTCCGATGGGGGCCCCAATCCCACTTTGGGGTCGAAGAGGGTGGGGAAGGGGCTCCACTCACCCCCACTGGGGAAGCGCTCGGGCCCGCACTGGCTGTCTGACTCACAGCGGTACTTGTCCTCGCTCTGTGGGAGACAGGTCCACAGGTGGGCAAAGGGCCCTGGGTGAGCCCCTTGGCACCCACTGCCTCCCCACAGCTGGTGGACTCTGGACAGTGGAGGCTGGTCCCAGGACACAGCTCCAGGGGGCACCTCGAACCTCTGCTTACCCCCACGCCCCTCCCTGCCGCCACTCCCTGTACAAAGGTTTCCTCCACGACCTGCTACTTCATCCACCTCCCTCCCTTCCTCCCCTCACCTCCGGGCAGAATCCTTGCATCTGGTTTTCAGTCACAATCATCTTGGTGATGATGACAAAGACAGAGGTGCCCTTGGGAGATGAATGGAGAGGAAAAAAGTGACAGCGCCCCTTTGTGAGGGGAGGACTGCCTTACCCCCACTCTACAAACGAGGAAACTGAGGCTGTGGTGGAGAGAGTTAGCCAAGGTCACAAGGTAATCAAGGGCAGACGGAGGTCCAAACCAGGCCCTTCCAACTACCCGCCTGGCCCATCTTGCTCCCTGCGAGTCCTTGATTACAGGACAAGTTGTGGCAGAACGAGAAAGGATGCCTCCTGCAGCACTTGGGGGGGTGGGCCACCCCCCTGCCCGCCAGCGACCAGGGCAGGGGGGCTCTGGATCACCGAGGCCACAGAATCTGGTGTGGGAGTCCCATTGGCATCCACTCCCCCAACCTGCCCAGGGTTTGGGCATCTACTCAGCGACTTTGCGGAGGGGGGGCCATACCTGGGGTGGGGTCACATAATCAGACACATCCATGACTCTGTTGGCGTAGCGTCCAAAGCCCTTCACCTTGGTTACCACGGAGGACTCAATGGCCGTGTCCCGCACCTGGTACGCCTTCTCATGCAAGAAAACCCACCTGGGCAGGGGAGCGGGGATGGAGAGCAAGAGAGAAGGGCGTAGGCCCCTCAGACAGAGGCTGGGAGGGGTCACGTTCCTGCGGGGAGGCCCGTGCTGTGCGTGTGGGACTTCACAGCGAGTCCTGATTTGGCTGAGACTATTGTCTCCATCTTTCCCCCCATTTCTTGCTTAAGGAACATTTTTAGACCTTCCCCCCCATTGTCCCCCCCATAACATTTTAATACTATACACACCAGTTTATGCATTGTATGAGTAGTTGTGCTTGACACAAAAAAAGTGAGATATTTTTATTTCTCAGGAGCCAGTGTTAACCCTTTGAGGGTGCTGGCTGCTGCTGCTGAGGCCACCTCCCTGGCGGGAATCCAGAGAAAGAAGGGGCAGAGGACCCGAGGCCTGACTCTGCAACCTAGGCCTTGCTCACGGCGGTCTCCTAAATGTCCACACATAGTTGGTGTTCACTAAACAAGTCAGTGACGATGCTTGGGAATTGGGCACCTGGCAGAGTCTCCATCTGAACAAGCACTGGGTGAAAAGGATGGAGGAGGAAGGGAGGGGCAGCAGCTGAGCCTTTACCTGGCAGGTAGATGGAGCGGGGTTGGGAGGGAGGCGCCTCTAAGCTTATTTCTTGGTTTGTGCTGCCACCTGGTGGACATTTACCTGTACTAGTCTCTTCCTGCTGCTCCCAGCCATGAGGAACCTTCCCTTCTCCCAACCCCACCTGTCTCCCCAGACACTTGCAGCCTTCCCCAGCAGCAAGAAGGGACAGCAGGCACCTCTGCCCTCTGCATTTCTGTGAGGTGCCCACCTGCCCATTCGAAATTGCCCATCACAGCCCTCCAGGCTCCAGCCACGTGGCCTCACTACCACGTTTCCAGCAGGCAATGCAGTCTCATTTTCCCGGACAGCACGCCCGGAGGCAGATGCTGACACTGTGCCCATTGTGCAGATGAGAAAACCTCATGAAATATACTTGGAAAATGCTGCACACTCTTAGTTTTGCAGAAACACTGGTGATGTCTCGTGGAATCCGGGAGCGTGCGCTTTTGGGAACTCTGGGTTGGGGCCACTTTCTGCATGCTGACCAGCGTGGTGCGAGGTAGGAGAACCCCATCAGATGAAGACGGGTGGGAGGCACTGCAGACGGTGTAGGGCAAAGAAGACAAGGCTGGAGCCTGGGACACCGCTGAGGGCAACACGCGGGCTGGCGGGCAGACTTTACAAGGAGCGGGTAGGGACTTCTAGCTCTGGAGCTTTTGTGGGTTGTGGGCGGTGGTGAGTCCACAGGCCTGGGAGGTCTCAAGAAGCCTGACGCCTGCCTTCCAGGGGCAGGTGGGATGTGATGACCTTATGGGGTTCCCTGATGTTGGAAGGTGCCGCGGGGAGCAGCTCCTGGACTATGCTGGGGGTCAGGCATTGGGGTGCTGGGCACCTGCCCATCATGTTCATTTGAATGCAGGCGGACATTTGCCAGTGGATACTTGTCCAGGCTTTGGTGAGAGGGTTCAGTCACCCCATACCAGGGCCTCCCTCCTGCCTGAATCCTGCCTGCTCTCTCGTGGGAGAGGACCAGTGCCGGCAGATGGCCCCAACCTGTCACCTGTTTCATTGTTTCAGACTTACAGCAGGCCACCCCCTGATTTACGCCCCATTAAGAGTGATTCACAGGCTTGTAAAATGCTCTTACAAACACCACGCCTCTGTGGAAGTCCGAGGAGCCGGGAGCTGTATGTCCTTAGCGCTTTTATTCCCTTCTCTTTTTTCCTCTTTTGACAGGGAAGAGGGGGGGTTGAAGCACGGCTCGCACAGAAAACTCATGGCTGTCTGATGTCCCAGCAGAAGAGAAGGTAGCATCTCTGCTGCAGAGAGCCACCTAAAGGAGCCCTCTTTGCTCATGGCCCCGGGGTCCTGTGGAGGCAGGAAGGTCTTCAGCCGGCTCTGCTTCCAGCTGAGAGGGGTGTTGTCGCCACTCTGCACCCACCTGAGTGGACGTCACAGCCACAGCCCCCCCCGCCTGGCCACAGGATGGAGACAGCTTTGAGCACTGACCTGATGACATGGTTTCCTGAGCTACCACCCCCCCCCCATCTTTAAAGTCCAGGAGCATTTGCTGATGAGAAACAGAGCTCGGATTAGTATTATCATCTAATCAGCACAGCACGCCGAGAGCTGTATGTGTGAAGGAAATCACTGTACCTTCACCACAGCCCAGTGACAGCTTCGTTATTATCATTGTGCCGCAAATAAAGGAACCAAGGCACAGGGCGGTGTGCCGATCTGCTGAGCTGGTACGTGGGTTCCAACCCAGGCGGACTGCTCACAGCTTCCTCGCCACAGGGTCTCCGCCTGTGTCCCAGGTCAGGGCCTGGCCCCTGCACTGGATCCGTGTCCAGCTGGTCCCTGCCCGTCACCAGGAGAAGCACCTCCTAGCTTAGGAGCATCTCAGAAGGAAGGACCGAGGGCTTGGAGGAGCAATGACCCACCCTCTCGCCTCCCCCTCCTTTCCCCAGTTCTTCAGGGCTCCCTCTGTGCCTGGTGGCGGGGAGAGGCCACATCAGAATTCTCACTCTGAGTTAAGTAACAGTTGGAAGAATTTAGTGGCCCTGTGGGGCTGGAGGACGTCATCAGGGCAGCTCGATGTAAGGGGATGCTTCATTTCCAGAACAGAGGGCCCGAGTCTGTCTCCAGAGGCCAGAGCTGCGGCGAAGGGGCAGAACTGCACCTTCAGTTCTTGGCATTGACTCTGCTGTTCTGACTTATTTTTTCTCAAGTTCCTGGTCTATTATTTATAGAGTGGAAGGCGGTGGCAGCTCCTTGGCAGGTGGGGTGTGCAGGAGGGAGGCCAGAGCAGTGTCCCAGCTCCCGCCCGTCCACCCCGCGGGAGTCAGGGAGGAGGCCAGGGAGTGGGCGTGAGGCACTGCGTTGTGTGTGCTGGGAGGACAGGGGTCTCTCAGGAAGGCGCGAGCTGGGTGGCGGGAAAGGGGGAGGCCTGAGGGGGAACCGATGCAATGATGAGAGTTACCATCTATTCCTGGGTCACCTGACTCAGGAAAGGCACCGACACGCGACTCCACCTCACCACAACCCGCTGGGAGAGGCGTTCCGAAACCCATTTTCCAGATGCAGCGACTGAGGCTTAGAGACATCCAGGCCCTGATACCAGCGGGTTGGTACCACAGTGAGGCTTGTAGCCAGGTGCTCCAGGACCCACAGTGTCCCCGTCATGGGGCTGCGGGGCGGGGAGAGGGGAGACAAGAACAAAAGCCACTCCTCTCTCTAAACCTGCAGGATGGGCGTCCAACAGGTCTCCCCACCACCCTGCCACCTACTGTGCCCACAAGGTGCCTCAGGGTGCTACTCTGGGCTGAGAGGAGGGGAGGAGGGGCCAAGGAGGTTGAATTCCAGCTTTTTTCTTTAAACCAGAGCAGCTCTCCATTCTCACGGTTTGTGCTCCCAGTGAGTGTGTGGATCGGGCCTTGTTGGGGGGGCAGGACAGAGAGAGTGGGGCTGTGATAAGGTCAGAGTCACTACCCGCCACCACGGGTCCTTCCTGTGGACAGAGCGTCAAAGGGCCAAGATTGCCCTCCCCACTAGTTTGAAGAAAACAGCCCAAGGCCACGCACCCGCCATCGTCCTGGGGACTCAGGCCCCAAGGATCTTCCATCTCCTCCTCAGGTCCTCACAGGATCCAGAGAGGAGGCTGGCTCTTAGGAAGCCCCACCCCACGGAGGAGACTGTGTTACCACCTGGGCCCAGGAAAGACGAGGGGAGAAACACCAGGTAAGTCCTGGTCTCTGTGCACCTGGGAAGGCAGGACAGAACCTGTGTTTCCTCCCGAGTCTGCCCAGGTGCACAGAGAGGCCAGTGATGAAGTGGCGTCCGCCACAGACGGGCAGATGAGGCTAGAGGAGGGGGTGTGCTGTGCCGCCGTGAGGGCGCGAGAGAGACGTCCGGCTCGTGTAACACACGTCCTAGGTAAGTCTGCGCATCTGGTCTACCCGAGAGGCACACTGTGGAAAAGACTCGAGTACCAGCTAAGCGTTCACATCACAGCATTAAAAGTCCTTCCAAATTCTATCGAGCACAAGGTGCTCTCCCTCCATAGGACTGCCCACCTGCTACACATGCACCCCCACCTGTTCCAGTCCCTGGCACGTCAGCCAAAGCGGGTTTCCCACCTCAGGTCTCATCACGTCTCTCTGTCTCTCTCAGTTGATCTCTCTTGATCAGGCGTGCACGTGTGCACACACACACACGCACACACAAACGTTTCAGTGGCTTCCCGTCCACTCTTCTTCCCAGGTCTGGCATCCGGCTGGCGCCCTGCCCCCATCTTACACCACCTCCCCTCGCTCCCTCTGCTCCAGCCACAGACACCTTTTCTTCCCCCCACAGGCCTGGCCCTTTTCCTTTGCAGAGCTGGGCTTCTCTGACTTGAACTCTCTCCCTTCCCTGGGTTGCTCCTCCTCATCCTTCAGACTTCATCTTAAATGCCCGATCTGCAGAAGACCCTCCCTCCTTCCTGACCAGGTCAAATACCTCCATAACTCGGCCCTTACAGCGCTGTGCCTCGTCAAACCCCGAGCTCCGGTCGAAACCTTACATCTGTTTGCAGGGATGATTTGACTGATGTCCCTCTCGCACTACCTGCTCCAGGAAGGGGAGGCCCTGTCTGCTCTTGCCCACCACTCTACCCTCGGGGCACAGTGCCCGGTGTGAAGAGCCGCTCCCTCACTTTTTGCTAAATTAAGAACAATGGATTCAGGAAGTCTAATGGTGCACAGGGGCCCATGCGCACAGAGATGGGGCTCAGCCGGGGTCCGCGCTGCGCCAGCACCGATGCAGATGGAAGGAGCTGCTCCAGGGGGAGCTGTCAGGCTGGAAGATGGATGGCGCTGGATACCGAGACGCCATCTCGTGCTGGCTCCGACGGGCCAGGCCCCAGCACTGAGGGGTCTGGGCATCAGGCGGATCGTGATGAGGGACAGACAAGGGCAGTGTGGTGCTGAGCAGGTTGGTCCAGGAGCCAGCCGTCTCTGCCCACCCTCCATCCATCTCCTGCCTGGAGCCAGCAGAGCTGGGCCAGGCCGCGAATGTGCTGAGGCAGCTTTTGGCATGCACCTGGACCAACATATCATCCTTGGGCTATGTATAAACAATCAGCATCACATGTGCACCTGAACGTGAACTTTTAGAGACCAACTCTGAGCCAGGCTCCAGAGATGCAGACATGAGGCATTTGCAAACATCTCACAAAACCTCAAACTTGGAAGGGAACTTCAAGGCCATTCAATCCTACCCCAAAGCTTGAGGCCCTCCTGTAATGTCCCCAGGAGCAGCCCTGGACGTACAGTGTCTGCAACATCCTCACGACCAAAGCTTGCTGGCCCTTACCAAGCACGCCGAGCCCCACTCCCGTCGTCCATGTCGGCCCACCTTCCCATGCCCACCTTCATGCCCTGCCGCGCGACCTTCAGGCAAGCAGCTGCCCCCCTTCCCAGCCGCAGCCCGCACGCACACAGGATGCCTCCCGTGACTTGCTTGAATTAACTCACGACGGCTGTCAGTGGCCCGTAACTCATGGGCACACACAGACCCATTGTCTCAGAGAGCGGCGTGAACGAGAGACCTGCACACCAGGAAAGAAAATCCTGCTCGGCCCGTGTTTCCTGGTGCCCACCAGTGTGTGTGAGGGACCACGAGGAGGACAGAACCTGTGTTTCTTCCCCAGCCTGTTGCATATTCGGTGGCCCTTTGTGCATGTGTGTGTCTCTGTGTGTGAATATGCAGGTCTCTGTGTGTGTGTGTGCATATGTATATGGGTGTGTCTGTGTGAATATATATGTCCGTGTGCATGAGTATGCATGTCTGTGTATGCCTGTGTGTGCATCTGTGCATGTGCCTTAAAGAGCTGGGGGCCAAGAGGGGAGTTTGGACCTCGCTGGCTCTTACACATCTCCCGGGAAGGGTTATGTGGTGCAAAGTCAGGTAGACATCGGGAGTTTAGGCTTTCTGCCAACAGGGAGTATTCTGGCTTTGTGAGGAGGGACCCTACCCCGTGTTCAAAAAGGCCACTTTTCTCCTCAATAGCCCTTCCCTTGAATGTTTCTGATGCCTGTGTTTCTCCCTGCCTCCCAAGGAAGACATCCCCCTGTTTTGTCAACCCTCCCAGAGCAAGGGCTTCCACCCTTTCCCCCCCACCCCCCCTGCCAGGAGGGGGTCCCCTGTTCTAAATCAGTTCCGGTTCTCTCCCTCCCGCCCCCAGCTGCTCCCCTTCCCACTCTATAATCAACCTGTCACCATCTCTGCTGTTTCAGTGCCTTCTGTCCCCCTTGTCTTTTTGAGAGCCCGAAGAGTTGACTGAGGTCAATGGAAAGATGTGTGTTTGGGGATCTGTCTACTATCTGGTTGGGGTGGGGATGAGAGAAGGGAGAGGGGAGATGCTCCCCTGGGACCTGTCCTGGCGGAGGGTGCTGCAGGGGCAAGGACTGCCCTCGGGCCCTGTGCCTAGAGACCACTCTCTAACTATGGAGGATTTACTGGGCAAGAGAACTCCTCTTGCGGCCAGACTGCTGATGGGAGTGGCGCAGGCTGGTCCTTGGGACATGATTCCACCAACGAGACTGTTTCCCCAAGAGAGGAGAAGCCTAGGAAGCTGGACAGCAATAGGGAGGGGAGAAGGGAGTCAGGATGCCGGACGGCCCTCCCCTCCTGAGACCTGAAGGGCCACAGACTCACCCCACAAAGTAGGAGATGATCAGAAGCTGGACTGCCCGGTTGATGATCCCAATGGTCCAGCTCTTCACAACCACGGACTTGGTGGTCTCATAGGTGAAGAAATCCGACACGCAGTTCATGCCGAGAGAGTGCTCAGGGGCTGCTCATAGGGGCCCAAGGGTGGCCTCAGGAGGGAAGGGGACCTCAGGGAGGGAGACAGGGATCACGGAGTCCCGGAGGGAGCAGCTTAGAGGGGCTTATGGAATGGGGAGCCTGTTTCTTTAAGTCAGGCAACCCTAGCCCAGTACCCAGGCTCTCCCTGCTCTTGACACTCTGGGCTGCCAAGAGTCCAGGGCCAGGGCGGGGGACCCCTTTTTGTTCGTCTCCACCCCACTCCCCTGTGATGTCACGGCAGGGGTGGGGTCTCCAATCCCAGGCTCCTGATTGCTTGGGATCCAGCTGGTGAGGGCCCTCTGGGACTCATGTTTTATCTGCACTCTGTCTACCGTTTCTGTTCTCTTCTCTTAGGCTGCATCTTCACCCAGCTCACCAGCTGCTTCATGCACTCCTAAAAGCCCCTCGCAATGCCCCACCCCCCAGCCACCTAATAGCCCGTCAGCTCTGAGTACCACCTTCACTTTTGTCTTTCTAAAGCAACTCGGTTCTGCAGCCATCCCTGCCCTTCCCAAGTTGCCTCCGACAGAATGGGAGAGGGGAGGGACCTCGGACAGCCCTCTAGGTCTCCTGGGAGGGGGTGAGTCAGGAGTCACAGTTCGTATTTCTAACTCAAGTTGGCAGAGCTTCCAACGGAAGCTCTACCTGTAGCATAGCATTATTACATTGTTTTGTGTTGTTGTTGTTTTGGTTGTGTTTTTGGTTTAATGTCAATTTACTTATCCGAATGGCTTGTAAGATTGTATGCTCCTGAAAGGCTGGTGCTATTTCTATCTCGTTCACTACTTTCCTCAAATCCTAGAACTCTGTTGGAGCTCCCTACGTGTTTATTGAATCCTGCTGAACAGATCCTGCTAGTGCTGCAAAGGCCATCACCAGCAGCTCAAAGCCAGCAGTGCGGCTTTGCCCGCCATCTCTCATCCCATGGCCGGGTCCGCAAGCTGGTGTAAATCAGATTGTCAGAGAAATCTGGAGTTTAAATATTCTGTCCCCAGGTCTTCAAACGGACAACTGTCAACCATTCTGGATGTAGATTCAGTGTGCTTAAGACAAAAGAGAACTGGACTTGGGTAAGGAGGTTTGGGTTCCAGCTTCTAGCTTTACTGCCAACTCACTGAGACCCTGGGCAACTCCTCCTGGGGTCTCAGTTTTTCCACCTGCAAAAGGAGATCGGAGGTCGGAGGAGACAAACTCCAACACGTCTTCCAGGTCTGGCCTCCTTTGATTTTGCAAGATGTATTCTGGGACTAGATGGGGGGTGGGGTGGGGCATGGGTTTGGCAATTCCAGGCTGACTGTGGTTTCCAATCAGTTCTGGCTCCAAGGTGAATCTGACACCAGCACTTGAACTTGACACCACCATTCGCCAGCCTCTTCCAGGCGATCCATACATTGTGGTTAGAGACGTGAGGTTGTTGGGATCCAATCCCATGTGACAGGGTAGATAGAGCAGGGCAGTCACGGCGACACCAACACCCGCATTCTCTTCGCAACCAGTAGTGGGAAGGGTCGTTTCTCTTCACAGCTCTTTTAAGTATTTTTCTTCTTGTCCCACAGCCTACTTACTTTCTTTCCCACGGAAACCACTGTTGCAGGAGGACCCACATCGATCCAACACACATACACACACATCTGTGGAAAGTTCGTTACAAGAAAACTACAGTTTCTCCTCAGAACCTAGCCCTCCATTGAAGTGTCTGTACTTTTTTTTTTTTTTTAAGAGCCCTCCGCATCCCCATTTTGTGGCGCAACCCGGGTGGGACTTCCTGGCCGCCTGCTGCCCTCAGGTCCTCCGGAGCCGCCGACGCTCTAGGAGGCCGCCTAGTGGGCGGGCCGAGCTCGCGTCTCTCTAGCCAGCTCGTCCGCTCTATGGTCCAGGTACAGCTTCCGGTGGCGGGACGCTGGGCCGCGCACGCGGGAAAAGCTTCCCCGTGTCCCCCCCACTTCCATCCCCGGTGTCCCCGCCCCCTCCCCCGCGTCCCTCTGCGCGCCCACCGCCCGCACCCGGGCCGTCGCGAGGCTGCTTGCTTTAGGAGGTGGGTGGTCACCGTCCCCGTGCCCCAGGAGGGTGCGAGTTCCGTTCCCCCGCGGGCCACTCGAAATGGACTGTTCCGTGTTCGAATCCGCGGGCAGCGGGCGAATCCACTTTAGGGGGCGGGGAGAAACCGGGTCTGGGGCCGCAACGAGGTGGGAGCGTTGGCAGGGAGACCCTGCACTCTGAGCTGGGTTGGGGCGCAGGCGAAGTACGGGCTGCGGCAGGCCCTGGGGTACCGCTGCTCGTTGCCATGGCGCCCGGCGGAGCGCCCAGAGCCTGTATCTGGTTGGGGTGTAAGCGCTACTTTAGGCCCGGTTCTCTAGCCGGGGCCTGGCCCCCCGAGTCCTGCGGAGCCCGCTTGTAGCCTCCTAGGCAGAGTAACGGGTCCACCTGGCCCCGTCGGTGAGCAGAGTGAGGTGTTGATTTTCGTGCTCACGTGCCTCACTTTTGAATTCAGGTTCTCAACCTGCTGAGTATTTGCACACCCATCCAGGAATTGGGGCCCAGCTCCCCAGTTGAGGCCAAAGGGGGCAGGTCATCATGGCAGAAACACTGGAGTTCAACGACATCTATCAGGAGGTGAAAGGCTCCATGGTAAGAAGGGCCAGACTTTTGATACAGGTGGAGAGGTGGGAGGGGAATAGACTGTTAGTCTATTAACAAGAGCTTGCCTCGATGATGTTGATACTTTGGAAAGTGAGTCAGAGTATCACATGTATCTGGTGTTTCCCCACAAAAGGCAACTGTGGCAGAGTACAGAAGTTACAGGGTCTCGGAGTTTGAAGAGACCATTCCTGCTGCTTAGTCCGGAATCCCGAAACTGAGGACCTGCAAGGGTTGTGGATGCCAGAGCCCAGATTAGAATCTGTACTTGCTGGCTACTTGTCCCTTTTTACTGGCCCCCACCACTTCAGCTGTGGGTTCTGGATTGATATCCTGCCCGCCGAGAATGGGTGGGTATTGGTTGGTACTCTACCCCACAGGCACTGTGTACCGTCCCCCCGTGCATTTGGGCCTATTTTTCCAACAGAATGATGGTCGGCTGAGGTTGAGCCGCCAGGGCATCATCTTCAAGAACAGTAAGACAGGCAAAGTGGACAACATCCAGGCTGGGGAGTTGACGGAAGGCATCTGGCGCCGTGTGGCTCTGGGCCATGGACTTAAATTACTCACGAAGAATGGCCATGTCTACAAGTATGACGGCTTCCGAGAATCGGTGAGGTGTCTTGTTGCCGTAAACCCTCTCCCACGTTACCATCTTATTTAATTTTAATTTTCTGGAGAGTTGGGGCTCTTCCCTTTGATAACTGACCACGCAGCGTCTAGTATGGGCCCCACAGAGCAGGGCCGTCCCAGCCACAAAGCCATCGGCGTTCCACTTTGGGTGTCAGAATCTCGGGTGTCTTTGTGCCTTGACTCCAGAGGGTTTCCTGCCATTGTGATTTTTTTTTGTGGTTTCTGCTTGTTACCTTTCTCCCAATTTTGAATCTTAGCTTGATGCTTTGGTTTGGGTTTTGTTTTTCCATTTTGAACTGCTGGAGTTAAAGACTTCATTTTAATGTCCACTTTCATTAACGCAGTACCCACACAAAGGTTGCAGTGAGAGGCCCATAACCATGAATTGTCCGTTTCTTATTCTACTCTTTTCTCCCAGAGATCCAGTCCCCAGAAACAGTCTCTTTCAATACCCTTTTAAACAATGTTATAGCTGAGATTCTTAAGTCAGTATGGATTTCTGATAAAAGGTATATTGAGGTAGTTTCTCAGAAATAGATAATGCCAGAACGTTTAAGTTTGTGTTAAAAACATCAGGGTTTACTGGGATTGCTCTCTCCACTGCACCTGCAGGAGTTTGAGAAACTCTCTGATTTCTTCAAAACTCACTATCGCCTTGAGCTAATGGAGAAGGACCTGTGTGTGAAGGGCTGGAACTGGGGAACGGTGAAGTTTGGTGGTGAGTCCTGGGCCAGGCTGAGGTCTGGGGAGAAGGTAGGATGAAAGTTGTCAGCCTTGAACTTGTTTTGCTCTCCTTCTGTCACTGTCTCTGATTTCCTCTCAGTTTGTAAGTCGTCTCATATTTATTGAGGACCGAGAGTGTTTTAGGCACTGTGTCTGGTCTTGGGGGTGCAGTGTAAATGCAGCAGCCATAGTGCCCTGTCCTCGGGGGACCTGTCTCTGGCGGAACGGGGTTTACGCACACTCAAGGGGAGAAGCTGTGGCTTGACAGCCCTTTCCCCACAGGGCAGCTGCTTTCCTTTGACATTGGCGACCAGCCAGTCTTTGAGATACCCCTCAGCAATGTGTCCCAGTGCACCACAGGCAAGAACGAGGTGACACTGGAGTTCCACCAGAATGATGATGCAGAGGTCTCTCTCATGGAGGTGCGCTTCTACGTGCCTCCCACCCAGGAGGATGGCGTGGACCCTGTTGAGGTGAGGCTGCTTCTGGTCACTTTGGGGGCAGGTGGTACTGAACAGGCGCTGGCTGGCCTGGAAGCAGATCCCTGTTGCTGCCTTACCAGTGTGTGCTTTTGCAGGCCTTTGCTCAGAACGTGCTGTCTAAGGCAGACGTGATCCAGGCCACGGGAGATGCCATCTGTATCTTCCGGGAGCTACAGTGTCTGACACCCCGAGGTCGGTACGACATTCGGATCTACCCCACCTTTCTGCACCTGCACGGCAAGACCTTCGACTACAAGATTCCCTACACCACGGTGCTGCGCCTCTTTCTGCTGCCCCACAAGGACCAGCGCCAGATGTTCTTTGTGGTGAGCAAAAATTACTGAGGGTCTGCTTGAGTCTTTAGTAGATATATTTTCCTGGGGTTTAGTTAATCAGCAAATTCTCATGAGGCATCAACTGGTGCTACAAGTCTTATTGACTCTTCCTTATCAGATCAGCCTCGATCCCCCCATCAAGCAGGGCCAGACCCG